AAAAATATTTTGAGACACCTATTAAAATACTTTCTAGGAACCCATCAACCTATTGGAAGTTTTCAGTTTGGGTTACAGAGAACATTCCCTGAAAACAAAATTCCTATTATTTCAATCCTCTTAGACAGTATTAGCCTCTTCAAACAATAACTACATTACAGAAAGGTTTGTAACACCAAGAAAGTACCTGAGTCACAAAAAATGAAATGCTGGATTGTCTAATATATGGCCCTATTTTGTATGCTCTGCTGAATCCAATCACACCTTCCATGATGGAAGATTTCCCATTAATGGGAATAACTTCTACTGATGAAGAATTGCTATTCAATAAGCAGGACAGAAAACAGATGATCAGCAAATACATTCAAGGTGACACTGTGACTTTTGCACAGGAAAGCTGCCCAGAGGCTTGGAATCTCCTACTCATAATGAGATAACAAAAGGAATATGCTTGGTGTTTGTTTCACTGATAACCACCAAGGAAAAGCTCCTGTTCACCAGAGAACTCCTGAGCCTAAACCATTTCAAGAAGAGATACAGGTGATACAGGGCAGACATCAGCAGCTGCAACACATTTAAGCAATCCCTATCCCTGCTCCAGGACTTTAAAGTAGATATAATTTTCATGAAGTTCAATATAAGTTATTTAAAGCACATTAAAAAATAAATTGGGCTAAAGGCAATTCCCCAAACACTGTGGAATTAATGACTTATTAATCTTAGAAAAGAAATGCTGAGTAGAGACAGCTGCAGTATTCTGGCTTCATAATGCAAAAAGGTTTTCAAAACTTGAAATGTGCATCCAGGCTCAAACTGCTGCAGAGTTTGGTGGCTGTGAGAGGGAAATGTGATTTGGTCTTGCAGCTCCAGGTCCTGTCCCTTCAACAGCCAGAATCAACCCTTGATGAATTTGCAAACCCCTGCGACTGGTTTCTGTATATAGATACAATATATGTATATTGTATGTATATATACATACATTGTATATAATATACATTGTATATTGTATTTTGTATATTGTAATTGTATATTATATAATATACAATTATATAATATATGTATATTCCGACTGCTACATGCAGGCAGGAAAAGCATCTCCTTCACAAGAAACACCAACGAAAGAAGGCAGGTTTGGTCCTGAAAGACCCAAGGCTATGACTTTTTAAAGGTGTCCCACTAGACAATGAATAAATTCGTTGGGCAAACAAAGATTCTTTTATTATGGCAACTGTACTACCCAATACACAGCACTGCTGCTGCTGCTCTTCCACAGATGTTCAGCCATCACACCACAAGGCTGCCTTCACGAGCCTTTGGCGCCCCAAATGTGGCAACCTGGGGGAGCTGAGCAGCTCTTGGGATGTATGGCCTTGGAATGGGAGTGATGGGAAGACTGTAAAACCTGCCAGCAACACAGGGCCTTCAGATGAGAGGAGAGAAAGAGCTGAAGGCAGATAAATAAGCTCCCACAGGGGAATTGCTATTGAGGCCATGAGGGCACTGACCTGAACACTCAGACTGAAGAAAAAGGCTCTTCAGAAATGTCTTTTCTGCACTCTTAAAGGTGTACAATGAACCCTCCAAAACACGCTTCTTACTGTGTTAAATATGCAGCAGCTCCTGCCTCCAAGACATATTTAAACCTTTTTTTGGTTTACATTCCAGAGTGTGGAGGGTGTCCCCGCAGCACGCCAGCTATTTTATTTATATGTTACAAAATATTCAAGAATTCTGAACATAACGTTCAAAATATGTAAGAACAAGGCCTTTTACATAATGACCTCTAGATATAAGGCCACGCTGATGCATATGGAGTGACTCAGGATTATGCCAGTTACACAGCCCTTAGGATATGCTGTATCAGATCACATAAATGTGAAGAATTGGTCACACCTGTAAAAAGGAAACCTGAAATATTTCACTGCTAAATGACCATTTATGAAGAGGAAACCTTTTTTTCAGAGTAGGCTTTGGCAAAAAATAAGCCTTTCTGGTTTAACTGATAATTCTGTAGCATGAGACCAATATGTATCTCAGCCTCTGTGACACACATTACTGTCACTTCTACCATCCTATTATACACCAATATTATTTGTTCATGCTCACTTTCCCTTTCGCAGATACTTTGGATTTTTTCTTTTCAGATAATTATAACTATTTTATCCTTTTGCATTTGCCATTTCTATGCTTCAAATAGTCTGCATTTCTATTTATCTAGTTTTTACAGTTTTCTTCTTTCAAGGGACAACTCAAGTTCCACTTTGAACTTTGTGAATTGCAGACATTTGCTGCACAGTATACATTATATGTAAAGCTGGTTTTAAACAGAATTCTTCAGTCTGACACACACATTCCAATGGTAAGCTTCATCAGAAGTTTGACCTTTGTTCAGATGTTTATTTTAAAAGATTTCAGCAGCCACACAATTTTGTTTAAATGTAAACATTAGTCCTGTTCCCAATTATCTTCTCCACTATCATCTCCCATCAGACTGTCACTAAAACAATCACTTATCTCTTGCATAATTGCTCTGCTTTTTCTTCATGGTTAACAGAGATTATTTTTTTTCCAACTGCAGCCAACATCCTGCACCTTTTCTGAGGTTACAATGCAAGTTTTAGGGTGTTTTGAGTAGCAGAACTTTCTTTTTAACCTCACTTGCTATATTTTAAACTGCCTATAATAACCAGAATATGCAGGTTTTGTTGATGTAGATAAACTCTAAACAAGCACTTAGAGGATTATCAATATTCAAACAGTCCTAATTTCTACTCACACAACTGAAGTCCCTGTGGTAAGTGACCTGAAGTGCTTCATTCTTGGCTAACCATGGATGAAGAACCAGACAAAGGCACCAGGTTTGACTCAGCCATGTACAAAAAGGTAGCAAACCCTTTCTGAGGTGCCCTAATGTGACATGGGACACAGTGGGCACTCAGAGCCCTTGGAGGCAGTGCCAAGGCCGGGGGGGACCCCGAGGCATCTCCAAGTGCCTGTTTGGGGAAAATCAAACCAAACCCAGCCCACGGGCTATGATAGTGGTGCATTCAGTCTCCCCACTGTGCTACTCAAAATGAATCCTATCAGGGTGACAGCATTACAGGACACCATAGAAATATACCCATCATCTCCCCATGGAACTTGTCAAAACCAACAGAAATGTGCTTGGTATAACCAGGAAATAGGGAATTGAATGGTTAAAAGACATGGTCTGGACAGAGAGATGTGCCAGACATTTGGATCAATATCACATCCAATAGCCTGGATAATCAAGAGGCTGTGCTCCTGGATTTACAGCAGGTGAGCAAAGGACAGTGCTGGTAATGATATCAAATAGGAATTCAAGCTAGCATAAAACTCTGCATTCATTCCATTAAAAGTTAAAGTGAAGATGTTCATACTGACACTAAACTAATACATATTCTTTTGCTTTAGGAAGAACTTTCTGCGATCTTCACTTTGAAAACGGAGCTCAGCATTAGGTCAGGAAGTCATTAAAAATACTGAGTTTATTAGCAAGATACACGGACATACATAGGCAAGCAACCTCTTCTTCACACAAAAGTCATGAAAACGCTGAATCCTATTTGAGTCACCACATGAAAATTAGTCACGTGTAGGTGAGGGGACAGGATCAGAAATGAAGTGCTACTTGAGAACACGACGATAGGCATGCAGTCCCACTCAAAGAACTGCTTACATAACTAAGGGCTCGCAGTATCTACCAGCCATACACCAGTATTCTTTAAAAGATTTCTTTTTACTCTTTGGGAGTTGAGTTTCAGCAGTGTCAACTTTCACACTGTTTAAAAACTTACATTTTAGCTTATTTCGGCAGCAGTGAAGTCCTACTCTACACCATTGCTTTCAGCTTGCCTATCTTTCCAGCACCTTATCTTGGTGCTTCTCAAATACCACTTTACTAAAAAATACCCTTTAAATAAAAAGAAAGTAAAGAATGTATTCGCACAGGATTAGGTTGGTGTAATGTGATAAAAGTGCACAATAAGATGGGGGGAAAAACACCCACAAGCAAAAACGATCAGCAAGAAATACACAGAAAGAAGTAAACTTTTTGACAGTTTAATTCAGCAAAAGAGAGGTTTCCTCCACCTACAAGACAACAGGCCTTTCAAAGATACATGACGGAAGACAGTGTTCCTTCTTTCACATTTCTAGTACAGTCTCCAAATCAAGATTTTAGGAAACAAACAAAAAAAAAAAAAAGGAGCCCATTATGTTCAGTGACAGTAGGAAAGCACATCTTGACGACATCCATGCCAAGGTGGTGGCGAGCGGGACTACAGCGGCCACCTCTGCGGGCGGCTGGTGCACCGGGGGGGGACCTGGGCAAAGTTACCGCCCGCCGCACTTCTCCTCGGGCTCGGAGGTGCTCGGAACGCCTCGCTGGAGCACTGCAAGGCTTTGAAAACTACTGCTCGTACCACATTTAAATCCCCCCGTGAAAAAGAAGGGGAAAAAAATATCCCCGGTCGTAGCAGAGCTCAGCCGCAGGCGCTGGGCGAGCTCCGGGGACACGGCGGGGACAGCGCTCCCGGGCGGGCTTCTCCTTCATCACCCCCGCCGAGGGAGCAGGGCTGCGGGGTATAACCTCCTCCTGACCCTCTCAAATTAATATTTCTAAGAGGAGCATCACCTTCTGGCGCTCGGCGCTGCTCCTGCTCCCGCCGGGCGCGGTGCCTCAGGCGGGTGGGGGGCTCCGGTACCGCCGGGTCCCAGCCCCCGGGCAGGGCAGAGCGCGGCCACCGCCGCCTCCCGACCCGCTCCTGTCCCCGCGAGCCTGAGGGGGACCGACACCGGCGGGTTCCATCCATCCATCCACCGCCCCGGCGCATCCCGCGGCCGCATCCCCGCTGCCCCCGGCGCCGCTCCGAGGCGGGCTCGGCCCCGCCGCCCTCCCCGCGACCCCCTCAAGGTCACCCCAGCGCGGGGCAGCCCCGGGGGCCGCCGCTCCGTGCCCACCCCGCTCCCGCTCCTACCTGAGGCGGCGAGCGGAGCCGAGCGGAGCCGCCGCTGTCCCTTCTCCGGCGGTGCCCGGGCGGTCCGGGCCGCGCTCGGCGCCTCCTCCTGCGCCGGGGCCGCTGCGCTGCGCGGGGAGGCGGCGGCTCCGTCAGACTTAGCGGGGAAGCCCTGGAGGGGGGCCGGGCAGCGCCTCTCCCCACCCCGCGAGGTGCCGGAGCCGAGCCGAGCCTCCCCCGGCGGGGCTGGGGCTCCCCTCAGCGGGGACGGGCTGAGCCGCGCCCCGCTCCGCTCCGCCGGGGGCTGAGGGCAACGCGACCCTCCGCACACACAGGGGCTGTGCGGCCCCACAGGGGCTGTGCGGACACACACACGGGCTGTGCGGACCCACAGGGGCTGTGCGGCCCCACACGGGCTGTGCGGCCCCACACGGGCTGTGCGGACACACACAGGGGCTGTGCGGACACACACAGGGGCTGTGCGGCCCCACAGGGGCTGTGCGGCCCCTCCGCGGGCTCGCAGGCTGTCGAGGCAGTGCCGGGAAGCGAGAGGTGATGCCGCGCACGTGAGGGCGGCTCTGAGCCCGCTTCGGCCAGCGGGGCTCGACCGCGGCCGTTCAGTAGCAGAGGTTTGACACCGTCACCTTTTCTTTTGTTTGTTTGTTGGTTTTTTTTGTTTTTGTTTTTTGTTTTTTGTTTTTTTTTTTTAAATACTCACGGTTTTCAGTCCCAATTCTCCAAAAATCACAAGGGGAAGGCCCGACCTTGATTCTGAGAGGTGGAGAGTCCCACCCTGGGACACGGAAGCTGTGGAAAAAGGAAAAATACATCTGTGTTTTCACTTTCTGGGAGAAGTACAATGTACAGGTGATGGGCATTAAATAGACTAAGCAACTAACACTCCAGTTTTGGAAAATTAGTAATAAAACTCAACCCCACAACTTAGATTTGAAAACACTACTTTTGCTCACAACATTGCTAAAAAGAGGATGACACCTCTGAAACATTGCCAGAGTACTTCATATTGGGTGTTTAATTAAACTATCCTGGTTTTACACATAGGCTTAAAGTAGATTTCATAACAGTTCTCTTGTGCCACATAATCTTTTCACCATGAGAGTTAAAACCAGTTACCAAATGTCTCCAAGACTGAACTGAATCAGAGCAACTTTTGAAGAGCAGAAAAATATATTTGGTAGATAGGATGGGGGGTTTTTTTGGTGTAAAAGATACACACACATCATACAACACCTGTAGACTGCTACAGCAAACAACATTAGTACTTTAATCGGAATACTGGAAATCTTCCACCACTTTTTATTGGTGACTAGCAGTGCTGGCCAGCCCTGCTTGTTGGAGAGATGATACACTGTTAATTATATTCTGATTACTATCTTGGCTTCTTCCTTAACACCATTTAAATTCCAGTCTCAACCTTATCTCATCAAGGACTTAAGGAAAAAGTAGGACAGCCAACATAACAAAAGTACAACTCCCTCCATGTCTTTAAAAACTATTTCTGACTTATTTAAAACCAGGAGAAGCTGTGACCATATTTTTGTAGTGCTTTCAGACAAGCTCGTTAACAAAATCCAGACTTGTAGTTCTCACCAAGCTCAGTTATCAGCTTTGGAATGAAAATCAGAAACCTGTAACTATTCTGCAAATATCTAGATTAGTTTTCTCATTTGATCTTAAACCACATGTTTACTGTCAACTGAGAACCAACATTTCTGGTGCTTTCCCCTGCTACATCTCCCTGGGTCATGACAAAGATCAAACCAACTGAGAAAAACCAGTCAAGAGTAGCAGCATCTCTGTTCTGACAATGCTTAGAAAGATGGCAGAGAAAGCCTGAATGAAATGTTTACAAAAATAATCATGCAAACATTAGGTAAATGTGGTGCTATTTTCAGCTTGTGCTTATTAATCATTTAAAGCAGATGATTGGAGCACCATTTGAAAAGCATTAGATGTGCATTCCTACTGGCTGCCTGCAAAGGCACTTGGCTGGTAATTCTGTGCTGCATAAAAACATGACATCCTGCAGACTGTTTTCACAGAAATACTGAATTCCACACACAGCTACACCTGTTAAAAACTAAGGATCACAGCACAGAGCTCAGGATTTAAATATTACACAGGACAGTCTCCAAACATGTGATTCCTCACATCATAACATCCTCAGCGGGTCAGCTACTGCAGCTGGAATTAATAACACCAGAGCAGTACAAATGATTACTTCCCTTGCTTCCTCTTCATCTTCAGCCCCTCTGGCTGATTTTGTCAACCCCAGTGAAACAGCAGAAGTGTCTGGCTGTTTATCACTTGAGATAAGCAATGACAGGGCAGCTTTCTTCATTTTAATACCTTCTGCCTAGGGAAGTCTTTCCCCATGCAAACAGTGAAGTAGAATTTCATACGTTTCTGACAACTTCAGAAGCTGTCCTTATATTTTTATAGACTACATGACAGAGGTCTCACCACTTCTTTTTCTCCTTTGGAGATCTCTTTCTTTTACTACAGCACTTTTAGGAACTCAACCTCTTATGTACAGGTTTAAGATTGCTTAAAGCATGATGTCAACAAGAACAGCATCAACTAAATAGTAAAATTTAATGCTTCTCATGTTTTGGAGATTAGGACCATTTGTGTCTTTTCCTAAATTCATTGCATCTCTCTAAGTTGAGATTTAGCAATTCCTTTGAATTCTTCCTCATTTTCCTGGTTAATGGGGGAATACATGCATAGTGGAGGTCAAAAGAATGTAGAGGAACAGAGATCATGTTAACACAAAACACTTTGGCACTATGCTTGCCTCAAATTTGAATAAGCTAATAGTGAATTATCCTTGTCAGACAGTTCTCAGGTTTGAGCTTCACATCGTTTCCACAACCTGGAGCTCGATTTCCACACGAACAAAACAGAGGAGGAATTTCAGGGAAAGGCCAGTTCAACAACTTATAGTTTGGCTGTATTATGCTAGAATGAAATAGCTATTTTTATTTCAGCATCCTTTATGAACTTTCTAAAAATAGATGTGTGCATTAAAGCACGTAACTGCAATGTTCTGATATCATATAAACGTAACCTCTTCCCTCCCATGGAACCCTTTGGCACTGACAGAGTTTACCTTTGGAGCGCTGTTGGTACCAAATGGCAACACTGAGAAGTGAAAAACATTTGATCTGCCAAAAATGTGGCAGTACATGGTTCAACAGAGCAAAGTGCAGTAGTAAAACCTGGCATAATTCCTCACCAAGCAGGCAGAAATGTTGTGTGAGGAGCTGTTATACAGCGGTACAGAGCTCCGTGGAACAGAAGCAGCAGGAGGGATATTTGGAGTGCCCATACTGGACTTGCAGATGTGAAGTTTTGACTCTTTTATAACAAATTTGGACATTTAATTACGTGAATGTCCAGACCCAGCCTTAGTTGCTATTAGGAAAGAACTCCCATGGTATCACATGCCACCAAGCTCTGGCACAAGTCCAGCATCTGATAGAGTTAGAAAGCATATCCCTGTGAATCACCAGTGCGATCTCCTGCAGTAATTTCACACCCTCACATCCCAGTCTCCCAGGGAAAAGCCAACCAGTCCTAAACCTCTGCTTTTTTTAGGAGCAAAAGCAGTGACAGACAAAAGCTGTGTCGGTAACACGCCCTGTGACTGTGCCATGATGTCTCGTAGCAGTCAGCACGGGCAAGTTGCTTTCTGCAATTTAATGTTTGAACATCATATGCACTGCGGCAGAAGATAACAAAAATCTGCCCTGTTTGGTTTAAAAAAAACAAACAGACAGAAAACCCCCAACAAAACAAGACAAAACCAAACAAAAACCCAAACAAAAATATTGACCAGAGGATTATTAGGTACATTGGGATATTCTGCAAGCGTCATTTCACTGTTCTAATTCAATACAAAAGCAAAAACACTCAAGTGCAAAGCACACGTTATGTTTGCACTTACATGAAACGACCTTGCTGTGGCCCAGCTTCAACCACACAAAAAGCAGAGGGAATTCAAACTCCATCTGATGTTAGAAGCAATTTTACAGATATAGGGCCTCAACAACCTTCCCGTGCTGTTGGCACTGCTGACCCTGGCTAGAAATATGCTTGACTAAAAGTTACCAGTTGATTTCTCCATAAAATAAATCTGGTTCTTCCCTGGCAAGAAGAATTCTCAAGCTGTAATTTGTTGAACGTGACATAAAGTTGTTGGTCTGGTAGCCAAAAGCACGTAGTCAGAGACAACATAAAAGGCCATTTTCTGCCACATTTAGAACTCGATGGAGGTGTCCACAGCACCTTTATTCCAGGAAAAAAAGAAAAAAATTAAATTAACCCCCCCCTCAACAATCAACAAAAACCACCACAACAAAAGTCAGAAGACTACAGTAAATGGAGAGGACATAATATTATGATTATGTATTTTCAGAAAGGGCCACAAGTTAGTTTACCAGATGAATAATCTGACTTGTTTTGTCAGAATCTACTGAATATATGCGTATAAGTGGGGGCAGAATAACTTTTTTGACCTCTGAACTCATTCACAGTCACAAAGATCTTTTATATCCATAGAGTAATTGTGAGAAAGCTTTTTGCCATATTCAGGCCCTTTTGCAACACTCTGAGACAATCCTCTTAAGTTATGCACTGTCTGCTTTAAAAAAATCCCAAATCCTATATAACACCCCTTCCACAGATTACTGTGGGAAATCAGTTGGCAAATTTAAAAGTTTTAGAATGAATGACATTGTTTTAAGAAGAACTTACATATTTTTAAATGTATTTATTCACAAGAAAGAACACGAAGGAAAATGCTCAAGTGGACTCAGTGTTGAATTAAAAAACTCTGAAAACACTGTGAGAAACAAAACATGGTGAACTACTGAATGTTGTCACTGCAGTTGTTTTACAGTTCAGAAAAAAAGAAGACAACTTTTAGCTGTATAATAATCAAAAATAATCCCAAACATATCTCTTTCCTTTTGAGTTTTCAACTATTGGTTTTTACTTTGTTCTCCAAGAAAAAATACTGATAGAATGAAATAAGCACCAGTTTGCAAAATTCTTAGTGCAAGTAGCTAAGTTCCTGGATGTGGAAGGCATTAAATCCT